AAGTTTTAGGCGAGACAGAGTGAATACTGGAACTCATAAATTGGATCACAAAAACAAAACATTATCTAGTCTTAACTACCTTCAACCCCTGTATTGAAAAAAGCGTGACGGGGGAGGGCAGGTATGTTGAAGTGGCAAATTTCTCTTATAGTACTCCACCACAGTTGACGGCTATTTTTAACATTTGATTTGCATGAAGAAAACTCAAGCCAAAATCCAACTACCCCAGGAACAAAACTATGTTCAGTTGTTAAATCACAGGCGAAGCTGAACTTTGCAATCACAAGTAAAAACAAGAGCTTTAAAATTTGTAAAAATAAAAAAAACCAGTAGTACGGTATTCGAACTAGGCCTTTCTGGCCTGAAATAGGTACTTGCTGACGATAAAGAGCCACGTGTCTTTAACTACTCAGCTACAACAGCTCAATGTACATCAAATAAGAGCAGTATTGAATTAGGGGGGCGGATCTAGGAGTTTATCGAGTGGGGGATCTTATTGAACTTTCGAACTCTCCCAAGCACCGTTTTGTTCCTATTATGGCCAGATTGCTGCGCTGCAGGCAAAATCTTTAAAAAAAAACAGGCCAAAACAGGTGTTTTTAGGCACTTTGGAAAATTTTGACAAAAAAATCGCGTTGTTTTGGCGCGCGCTCCCCCGCAAAACTAGTTTATATTGCCCCCCCCCCTAAATCCGTCCCTGATCTTATTCTATTTGAATTACAGAAGGGAACTCGAGCAGTAAACAAAAGCTAAAGCAAAACAAGGAAATCTGCAAGGTAAATTTATAAAACAGTACTCTGGTACTAAAACTACTTGTGTAAATATTTAACTAATATGCATGTCAAATAAAAATGAAACTGAAAAAACATAGCCAACTGACAGCAGTTGAAAAGAGTAATGAAAACAAGGAAACAGAAAAAACTGCTGTTTTTGAAAAAACTTAAATTTTTGAATGTTGAAGAAAAAATATATGCTCTCAAATCTCTTTGAATTTCTAGAAAAATTTATGCTGGGCACTTTTTTTGATGAAATATCTACAATTTGAGAAAACTGGATCAATGATAAAATTTGTGCTCTCAGTCAGTTCATTGCACTCATTAAAATAATAAGAAAGACGCTTTTTGAGCGTATCAACCTTCACGGAAAACGCCAAAATATAACCAAGAACCAACTGGTAGGTGTCAGTCAGTTCATTGCACTCATTAAAATAATAAGAAAGACGCTTTTTGAGCGTATCAACCTTCACGGAAAACGCCAAAATATAACCAAGAACCAACTGGTAGGTGTCAGTCAGTTCATTGCACTCATTAAAATAATAAGAAAGACGCTTTTTGAGCGTATCAACCTTCACGGAAAACGCCAAAAATATAACCAAGAACCAACTGGTAGGTGTCAGTCAGTTCATTGCACTCATTAAAATAATAAGAAAGACGCTTTTTGAGCGTATCAACCTTCACGGAAAACGCCAAAATATAACCAAGAACCAACTGGTAGGTGTCAGTCAGTTCATTGCACTCATTAAAATAATAAGAAAGACGCTTTTTGAGCGTATCAACCTTCACGGAAAACGCCAAAAATATAACCAAGAACCAACTGGTAGGTGTCAGTCAGTTCATTGCACTCATTAAAATAATAAGAAAGACGCTTTTTGAGCGTATCAACCTTCACGGAAAACGCCAAAATATAACCAAGAACCAACTGGTAGGTGTCAGTCAGTTCATTGCACTCATTAAAATAATAAAAAAAAACATTTTTTCCCCCTCAAACTTTGGATTTACGTGAAGAAATACCACATTGCATCTCTTGAAATATCAAGAGACAAGAAGAAAAATTTAGGAAAATTGAATCACTGGGTATTTCGATTGCGCTGGGCGAATGATCACAAATAAAAACCATAGAAGAAAATCTTCATTTTCGCGGTGTAATTTCAGTTCGTCTTCAGTGTAATTTGCCTTTAATGCGTCATACATAAAAAAAAATTTACTTCCAAGTAAAAAGTAAAAAAAAAACGACGTATTCAAGTAGACAGAACAAAAAAGAGACCGAACGAACTGAAAATAAGAGCACAGATATTTCAGGATTAAATTCATTCAGCAGTCCATTTAGTTCAATTCAATTTAACAAATATTCTCAATTTACGGTTCAAAAAATAGATCGATTTTTCATACAACTTTTTCTGCTTCAATATGCCTTAGTTTCGTATGCTGCTTTAGTTTTACTGTGCAGCTAAACATTGACTCAAAGTCTCAAACAAAAAAACTCGAATTGCAATGAAACAGAAAATCCAAATCAAATATTTTCCTAGACTCAAAATATTCACACCTGCGCGCCAAAGGTTTTTAACGTGGTTTGAAAGACTTGATTTCAACGTCAGAAGTTTCATAAAAAAACATCTGAACTACGCTTAACCGCTATTTCTCAATTGTAGTACCTTGAAGCTCAAAACTGACAGAGGAAACCGAATTTAGTCAAAAAATGACTTAGATTTCATCCAAAATCCCCGAGAACAATTAATTGACTTGTAAACATGATTAAGCTTCAGCTACTACTAATTTCGTAATATATCACTAGACATCGCTTGTGAACTGTAAAAATTGCAACAAAACGTATTATAATCAGCCAAGATTACCTTATACTCTATACATTTCCTTTCCTGCTAAAAACCTTCAAAGAGAAAAATTTGTCCTAAGACAAGATTTCCAGAAATTTTGCAGGCGCACTTTTGCGAATGATCACTTTAAGCGAAGCTTAAAGTTCCAAAACATGTCTATAATATTAACATGTTACCGCGAAAAACTGAAAAGAAACAATCCAAACAAAAAAGCAATCTTAAAAAGGATCAATCAAATGTTCGACGAGAATTCTTCAAAAAAAATGCTTTAACATCATAACTAGTACGCCAGATGACAAAATACACCTCAAGTAAAAAAAAGTTTTAGGCGAGACAGAGTGAATACTGGAACTCATAAATTGGATCACAAAAACAAAACATTATCTAGTCTTAACTACCTTCAACCCCTGTATTGAAAAAAGCGTGACGGGGGAGGGCAGGTATGTTGAAGTGGCAAATTTCTCTTATAGTACTCCACCACAGTTGACGGCTATTTTTAACATTTGATTTGCATGAAGAAAACTCAAGCCAAAATCCAACTACCCCAGGAACAAAACTATGTTCAGTTGTTAAATCACAGGCGAAGCTGAACTTTGCAATCACAAGTAAAAACAAGAGCTTTAAAATTTGTAAAAATAAAAAAAACCAGTAGTACGGTATTCGAACTAGGCCTTTCTGGCCTGAAATAGGTACTTGCTGACGATAAAGAGCCACGTGTCTTTAACTACTCAGCTACAACAGCTCAATGTACATCAAATAAGAGCAGTATTGAATTAGGGGGGCGGATCTAGGAGTTTATCGAGTGGGGGATCTTATTGAACTTTCGAACTCTCCCAAGCACCGTTTTGTTCCTATTATGGCCAAATTGCTGCGCTGCAGGCAAAATCTTTAAAAAAAAAAACAGGCCAAAACAGGTGTTTTTAGGCACTTTGGAAAATTTTGACAAAAAAATCGCGTTGTTTTGGCGCGCGCTCCCCCGCAAAACTAGTTTATATTGCCCCCCCCCCCCCTAAATCCGTCCCTGATCTTATTCTATTTGAATTACAGAAGGGAACTCGAGCAGTAAACAAAAGCTAAAGCAAAACAAGGAAATCTGCAAGGTAAATTTATAAAACAGTACTCTGGTACTAAAACTACTTGTGTAAATATTTAACTAATATGCATGTCAAATAAAAATGAAACTGAAAAAACATAGCCAACTGACAGCAGTTGAAAAGAGTAATGAAAACAAGGAAACAGAAAAAACTGCTGTTTTTGAAAAAACTTAAATTTTTGAATGTTGAAGAAAAAATATATGCTCTCAAATCTCTTTGAATTTCTAGAAAAATTTATGCTGGGCACTTTTTTTGATGAAATATCTACAATTTGAGAAAACTGGATCAATGATAAAATTTGTGCTGGATCAATGATAAAATCAATGATAAAAAATCAGCTCTACAAAGTGCATTAAAAATAGAAATAAGCCTCGAATTAGTAAAAACTCGGCTAGGTCTCGGATTCGATCTGCAAGCAATGGCGACCTAGAGAACATGAATCTCACAAACTAAACACTCAGCCACGAACACATAACTAATCACAAACACTAGCCTCAGGTAAAACAGAGAACAGATACTATCAATGCTATAGATCGTGATTATAGCACAAGTGCCACCAAATAATGAACACTTTTATTTGCGAGTTGAACACGTTTATTCGCAAGCTTGCAAGTGTAAATAAAGGAATTGAAGTAAACAAAAAAAATCGAAAGTTGAACCGCGAAAAATCAAAATTTGCGTGAAATAATTTTAGACTTTTTTCTGAAATAAATCACCAAGACCTATATAAGAGTGCTCACTACGTTTATTACTCTTAAAAATCAAACAAAGACAAAAACCTAGCACGCCGAGCTAGCAGGCAAAAAAGGTCACAAGTCGAAACACTTGCGATACAACGCAGACAACATGACAATCTAGCCGACAGAAAATGTTACAAGTTGCTTAAGCCAAAAAACTTGTTTCCAAATTTCGGCGGTTTTTCTTGAATGCACTTCATTTTGAGTTAAAAAAGTGAAAAACAAAACTGCCAGCCTTGAATTATTTTCGTAACAAAATATCCGAAGCCGTAAGTTAGTCGAAAAGACTTTTTAGGAAAAATTTTAGAGCCCTCTAACACGCATTAAAACACTTTTCACCATTCGAACGACCCAATAAGAGGCGACTAAGCCGATAAAATGTAAGCTAAGCCAAAAAACGAGTAAATTAAGAAAATCTTGGATTGGTTAATTTCCAACAATTTTGGACAACATTTTTCAATAGATAGAACATAAACACCTGGACACTGGTAAGCACATGAATTTCTCTAAATAAAAAAGGAAAAGCGATAAAAGAACTGTAAAAAGAGATGAACTCACTTATTGGCACTGAACATGGAAGAGTGTCTAAACAGACAGTAGTCCATTCTAACTTCGAATGACACAGGAATCTTGCTGATAAATGAGGAAAACTCCACATCTCCCAGCGACGAGCAACACTGGCACATATTCCCACCTATTCCAGTGATCAAGTCCGGAATGTCCAGACCTTTAGACGTCAACGAGAGAGCTATGTGTGAATTGAGATGGAACAATTCTTCGTATTCGTTAAACAAGTCATATTTCTGCAGCTTGTGATAAAGCTTCTTACTTATACACTGACGTGCAGCATGTTTAAGTTCTACAGTAATTACCTTCTCGAAAAGCGGTTGAATCCTGGCTTTAATTTGATTCAAAGAACTGTAACGCATTGGCGATTCTAACGGCAAATGATAGTCGCGAAAGTACTTCATCACAAAATGTCCGAAAACATCGTACATATTGAAAGGTTCGACCATAACACAATAGCAGCTAGTGTATAGATCGGCAATATGTTTCAAGATTTTATCGCTGTGTCGTGAAGGCGTGAATATTAAAGAGCAGTCGGCTATAATGATCGTCGGCCTTTCAGTCGGCGCATGGTTGATGAGCTCTTTGAACAGGTTGCTACGGACTGCTTTGAAGTCGGCAGCTATCATTTGGTAGATGTCTTTGTCTTTTCTTTCATCAGTTTTCATTCATTTTAATTAAATGATCAAAATTAATTTAAAAAAAAAACTAGAAAATACCTTTATTTTTGGCGCATAAATTGACCGAGCGCTCATTTTGGTTTAAAAAATCTGCATGAAAATTTTGATGAAACCTTTTGTATACTTATCGGATTTATGAATATCAAACTGTTTAGCTTATAAATCTTTGCGAATAACTCATCGATCATCATGTAAAACCCTATTTGAAATCGTTTTTAGTTCCAATCACTAAATGGGGAGGAACTTTGTTTTCGGGTGTTTTTATTTTTAAAAACTTTTTATACGCATAATCAGGTTAAACAAATAATCATCAGGGTGGATCGAATGATATATCAGAAGAGAGCTCTTTCAGTCGGCCTTCGATCGAAATTCAAAAAAACTCCCAAAAAACCCGGTTTAAAATGTTTACTTTTAGAGTCTCATTTCGATCGAGTAGGTGATATAAAACGACCAGTACTACTCCAATACAACTAAATTTCGGAGCTTTTCTTAGCGCTTTTTTGGCAGTAAAATGTTTTTTTTTTTAAATCGAAAGTAAATTTCGCAAAAAAAAAATAGAAAAAAAATATAGTACTATTTGTTTTTCATATTCGAGCGCAACCGTAGTAGATTATACTTGCTTTACTTATAGCTTAAGCTATCGTCTAATTTTCTTATCACACCACACAAAAAAGGGTGTTTGTGCTAGTTGTTTCGGTCAGTTTAAAAACGTATGAAGTCAGCTTTTATTAACTTGTGAACTTGAACTGCTTTTTAAAAAGTTTCCATGGCTGTTTTTACTTGCAACGGTAGATATTTTTAAGATTCAAAGCAATTGAAAAGGTAATATCAAACTGAACAAATTCTATCACCAATAATCTTTATTACTAGATACAAATCGCTTTAACAGCTGCAACATAATGAATATGAAAAAGTTCAGGTTAAAACGGAAGCTAATTATCTATTGAATGAATTTCTTTGTATATACGAAAATTTCATGAACTAAAATTAGACAACGGGCAGGTGGCTAGGTCTTTTACCAGACCGACCTTTTTACCAGACTGCCCTTTTACCAGACCACTGCAATAACTCAATTAGTATAAGTTAAAATTAGAGAAATATTGGAAAAGGAAGCGGTTAGAAGAAACAAAACTTTGTTGAGAGACAGTGAAATCATTGTCTCCAGCCAGACTAAACGGCGTCATTGCATCTGCCAATCAAATTTGTTTATCAAGTCTGGTAAAAAGTCTGTTATAACTTTTCTGGTAAAAGGTCGGTCTGGTAAAAGGTGGGTCCCCAACGGACAGTAAGTCGATCACGTTATACGTGACCTTTACACTTTGGCTGTTCGATAGTCAAGTTTACCGTCATTTTAACAAACAAAATAAACTGAACTTAAAAAGAAATCAAAGCGAAAAAGTTAAATTGAGCTTGAACAAATTTAAAGACTTTTCCTGAAAAAATAAAACAAAAAAAATCACCAAGACCTATATAAGAGTACGTTCAGCGACTCTTAAAAACATCCACAAAAATATTTGCTTCAAAGTCAATGCAGCTAAAAGGTCATAGAAGTTACAAAAACGAATAACTTTCACAATTTATGCAACTAACTCTCATGGCGTGGAAACTGATGATGTGACTTCTTGATGAGTTTATTTCTCTCCATTATTCGTTTCTTGTCCACCAGAATATCCTTCAACTCCACTTCGATGTACTTGTCAACTCCCTTGTGGATGTGAATGAAGCCGTCCTCCTTCAGTCGCATGAAGAAGGTGCTGTATCCACACCCTAGACAGATGATCTGTTTCACAGGATCCGCCATCTTCTTCGCCTTCATTAGCAAATCCATCACCAATGTCTCGATGCATCTTAAGGAGTTTTCTTGCAACACTGTTTCATTGGTTACTCATAATTGTTACTAATAACTCAAGCTGATTTATGCAAAGACTAGCAACAAAAACTGCAAGAGCTCTAGAACTCAAGAAATATCAAAAAACGGCCGACTAAAATACGGGTGCAAAAGACTGCGTTTCGGCGGTGATTCGAAACAACTTTCGCAACGTCATAGCACATAACTGATTTTTAACTAAAAAAGAATCAATTGCAAATCGAACTACAATTCTTTTGAACACTACTGGATTTGAACATCGGAACCTCGCGGCTAACGGTCACTTGCTTTAATCATTAGGCCCTAGCTGATTGGATTACACTCCTTTCACGTCCTTTTATAACAATCGCCAGACAGAACATGCGTTCATATATGGCACAGCGAATATAGCTAGTAAAATGCGGAGCCCTGAATGTTCCGACTGCATTTGAGGCCAATTAAAATTTTCTGTCTGAAAAATTGACGAAATAATAGAAAAAAGATTTTTTTCCCTCAATTTTTGATTGAATATTTTTTCTTCAGTTTATCATCCACACGCTAACGCAAACTACAAAGGAATGTAGTTCGCCCCAAGAGATGTACAATTCACCTCGCCAGCTACCACCGCAGGCTAAACAACAAAACACCCTACGTCTGCCCAATTTGCTACATAGGACCACACACCACCGATCATCTGTTTGACTGCCGGGTATACCCAACCTCACTTACCATCGAGAGCCTATGGAAGAATCCTGAAGCTGACAAACATCTGCAGCTAATCACATAACCCCACGTAACGGGAATTTTTCTCGTTTCTCCCCACTAACAAAAACTGCCTGCTTGAATCGGGCATAGAGTTTCACTCGCTTCTCCGCACACAGAAAAACTTGTCCCTTAAAACGGGTTTCATAACACATCAAAACCTCCCTCTTGAGTGTGCTATACAGAAGGAAGGTGTCGTCACCAGCACAAGCACGCTGTACCCTTCTACGCCGGTTTCGACGCTAGAGACCCTGGTGGAACTGCCATGATAGACTGAACGAGACAAAACCAACATGACCAGACAGGAACAATATTTCCTTAACTCTCTTTCTCTCAATCTCTCAAACATAAATTAGCTCTCTAATTCAATCAGAATCCTTCAACTTAAGGATTGAAAGCTTTGAATAATCGCCACCTACGTTTCAATTTAACAGAAAACTGATTAAAAAAGCATATTTGTTATTCAAATTTACCAACTTTCCGAACCCTATTATTTTGCGAAAACAATCACAGATGATACATCTTTTTAATTTCGAGCTCATTATATCAATACCTTTTAGAGCATAAGCAGTCATAATTAGCAGAGGTCTCGGGCGTATCTAGGGTTTTTTCGAGGGAGCATTTTCATTAGTCTCGATTTTTTTCACAGGTCGACCAAATTCGTAATACGACAACTAATGCAAAAACAAAAAATGCATGAAAAGACAACTCGCTGCGAGCTTGCCAACAGAGGGGCTGGACAAAATTATTTTTGGCGATAAATTGTGGTGAGCCGTATTGTTTTGATAAACTTACTAAATAGTAATGATTATGATATATGAAGGCTCTCAATGGACAGACTTTACAGCAAGCTACTTGTACGAGATACCACACTTCAAACTATCTCAGAAGTATCCGTTGATTGCGGATTCCCTTTCCGGATTTCAATATTGTTTCCCTGCCCGGAGGAAAAATAGACACGTCTACAATTTCGCGCCATCTTTTGTTCAATACGATTTATTGTATGTTTCATGGGCGGAAAGAAAACGACCTTGATGACGGCGATCAGCCATCTACTGCACCATCTGAAGATATTGCGCATCAGTTCTGACTGTATATTTAGAGGCTTATCACATTCAATTGACAAAAGAGAGCACTTAAAGAGAGACATCGTGCATCTTAACAACTTTCCATCTAACTCTATGAAAAGTATTCAAGAAAAAAATTCTACACTTCTGAAATAGATCGTGCTGGTCATTTGGAAGAAATCGAGTGTGCTGGTGTTTGCTATTGTCACTCTGCTGCCCACTAAAACGGAAACCTTGAGCCGCCGGTGCTTCCTCAACCATCACATTTCTGAAGCTTTTGTTTGCTTCTTCTCTTAGTGAGAAGGTTCGATGCTAGTACCTTTCTAGGTACCACTAGTGAGCTCTTTCCATTGATTTGAATTGATTTTATTATCGTTTGTTTTCAATCCTTTATTTTTTTTCCTAGCCGTAAAATAATTATTAATTACAGCCTATTACAGTGTATTGTCAACGAAATGAGAAAAGCGCGCTACAGGACAATGTATCATCAGAAACGCTAACTATTACAGCGCCTCCTCTAAATGAACATTTACAAGACCAAACTGCTATTGAAAAGAGACAAAAAAGTTCTATGGCAGCCTGCTAGAAAGTATCCTGGAAGGAGACTAGTTCTCGATACTGGTCCAAAATGCAGCAGCCAAATACCAATGAACGATCACTCCTCAATTTTTCCAGCGTGAAATCAACAAACAAGGCCAATGATTCTCCAAATTTTGCGACGATCTTCAACGATTACGCTTCTGGAAAACAAGAAAAGCGTAAAGATAAGGAGGAGCACAAGCACGCCAGAGTTCTGAAGACATTACTGTTGCCCGCGTAAAGTTCTTCAATATGATGAAAACTAACCATAACTTAGAAAACGCTTGGACGAAAGAAGGACTTTTTTAATACAAAAGGAAACAAGATCGAACTCATTCAAAGCTTGCATTTATGCGCTACTTGTCAATGCAATATCTTCAGTAAAACATTGTGAAGATTTAGAAGCAGCTGTAGAGTCTTGAGTCACCATTAAGAATAACACTAACAGAAACTTGGTTAAAAAAGGAAAATGCGTACTCTATTGCTATAGATGTACTTGCCCGTGATTTTGATTGTCTCGAAACCACGGGCTCGAGGAGGGTGTGTTCAGTTGCAATGTAATACGGAAGTCAAAACTATACGAAGTTAGACGGAGTTTTATCATGCTATGCTTATCTTCTAAACTGAAAATTTAACTGAATCATATCAAAATATCAAAGTTGTCGCTAACTTTGGTTCGACAACAAAATGTCATCAGAAAACAACTATCCACAGCTGTTATCTAACAAAAATTAAGAACTTAATAAGCAAAAAAAATAGGTTGAATCGTAACTTGTCATCACAGCACAAAAAATCGCTAAATTTGAGCAACACAGGTCAGGAACAAAGTTCTCTATATCTGGTCACAACCAGATATAGAGGTTTCAAAGAGTCAATAAATGATTAAACTCATGAAATGAATTGTTGACCGAAGTCAATTCTAACGACTCTTCAACGTATTAAAAGGATCATAACAAAAGCAACGCCAATCGGCAAGATAAATAACTAAATGATGTTTTGGAGAATCATTAGAACTGATTGCAGATAACTTCAACAGCTTTTTTGTAAATGTAGCAGACACGCTTTGTTCAACTACACCAAACACCGACTTAAAACTGAGTTTATCTGAACCGTTTCACTCTGTAAACTTGAACATGAAAAACAAATCCATAGGTGAAGATAAAATCATTTAAAAACTATCGAGTCATGCTGAGATACAACAACTACCAGAGTAAACCAAAAACTGCAAATGATTCAATGAAACAAGGTGCTAGACCTTCAGAGCTCTCAAAAGCCAATGTTCTACCGATGCATAGAGAAAGTTCAAAGTTAGACATCAAAAACTATTGATATCAGAGTTGATAACTGTTTCTTGCTTTTGAGAGCTGTCTTTTGCTTTTGAGGACTCTGAAGGGTAAGCAGCTTGTTTCATTGAGTTGTCAGCCAGTAAACTTTCGAAAGAGCGATGTTTAACAGATTTTACAATTACCTCGAAAAACCTCTGTTCATAAATAGGAAACATTTCAATTATAGAAATCAACACGATTCAATTGATGGCATTGCGAAGCTAACTGGAAAAAAATCGAATCAAACAGTTAACTCTACTATTTTCCTCGCTTTGAAAAAACATTTGACACTTGATGAAGAAGCTTCCACTTCCGTACTCCGGAATTACAAAATTATGACTGAATACAAAATATTTAATCAAATCGCATAAAAAACCTGCAAATAAATGGTGTTTGTTCTAGCTTTCAACTCTAGCACCGCAAGGTTTAACTTTAGGACCATTATTGTTTCTCATTTCTATAAATCATCTAAAAGAAGAGGAAAAAAATCAGAAACTTTTTCGTTCGCTGACGGTAGTCCCCTTATTTGTCTCGATGATTATCAAGAAATACTAAACAGTGACTTCAATGCTGTGGCCAATCGCCTTCTAAAGAACGTAAAAACTCTAAATATGAAACAATTTAATAAATATAACGAAGGGAAACGCTTCTAACAACACTAAAAAACTGCAAAAATCAGACCTTTTGTCCCGTCTTGGGTTAGGTTCATAGTATTATCAATCAAAAATCATATCCCTCATCCATAATGGGACTTTGTGTACGGATGTAAAACTTTCAATGCATTGCAGCCAATCTTGATATTGCAGGAAAAAATTGTTAGACTTATCTGTTTTTCGTAATTCCCACGACAGTTTTTGAGATGTCTGTCTCAGGGAAAATTTTAACAGTAAATTAATTGTTTATAGATGAATAATCAAAACTTGTTTTCCAATTTTTGTACGGTTATCATTCCGATTTTTTTTGAAATTTTAATTTTGATGATCATAACAGAACAATAAGGTTTGGTTCAAAAAAAATAAAACAAGAATAAAAACAAAAACACGTTTTTCACTACCTGTTCCAGGGCTATAGAAAATTTTTTATGATTTATTCTCCACGAAATTGATTAGATTCTGATCAATTTAAAGTCATGAAATGTATAGCAAGTAAATAACTATGCTCAGAGAAGGAAATCTCTTCACATTATGGGAAACTTTTATCTAAAACAGTTTCCTACGGAGGTCACAAAATGTTTTTTTTTGCAATTCTAAAGACTTATCAACTGTAAT